TTCTTGCGCTAAGTATTTTTTATATATTCTGAAAACGTCTTCCGTGAAGTTTCAGAACTTTTGGAGCTGTGCAGAATAGGTCTCTAATATTTGCTCCTTTTCCAGCCCAGAATCCCAACTGCCGGCATTCTCCCTCTTTATGTAAACCTTGTAAAATAAGAGAGAATAGGCATAAGTATAGTGACATAATGTGTGATAACAACCCATAATGCAATAAATATTGATATAAAAGTATGATACAAAATGAACGTATCACTAGGTTGCCGGCGGTTGTGCGGCCGGCGCAGATGGCCAGGGAAGGCAAGCGCCACCTGTGTGGACGCATCAAGAGGATGCCGCCGTCTTGGGCAGCACAGAGGAAGAGATTGTCGCCGGCTTGGGCGGCGCGGATGACTGGTGGTGCCTGTTCAGGATTTTGATTGGAGTGAAGGAGATGTGCAGACCAAATGGGGGAGTTGAGGATAAGAAGAAGTATGAGTTATGGAAGATGGAAGACGACATGTTTCGTCGGTTACAGATGAAAAGAGGGTTGGTGCACACTAAATGAAACGTTTTATTGATTAAGAAAAGATCTATTTGCTGAGCTGATTATGGCAGGATGACATGACATTTTTGCTGATGTGGCATGAAGCTTATGTGGATAGTGTGCATGTTGAGAGAATTAATAGTAGTGGGGATCAACTTCTTAAGAATGTAAGATTAGATTATGGTACAACGAAATATATGTTAAAATATCAATGTTCAATTGTCTATTTCCTGTAAATACAAGGGACTAATTTGATTAACAGAGCTCAGTGGGTCGTTCTAAAATATTGCAGCAGAAACGCACCGCAATGGACCGCAGACGAGATCGACCGAGACTCGGGGGAAAACCGACGACTGAGATCTTTATCTTTATCTTGTTGTGCTGTCAAAAGGAAAGAGATCTTCTACGGTTTTTTTTACTGAACATCAAGAGATCTTCTACGGTTGTTACTCGTTAGTACCAGAAAAGAAAATACTTGTATGGTAGTTAGTATAGCTAGCTGGCCGATCCGGCGCCCGGAGGGCTATAAATTAAGAGCATCGCCTCGTTCATCATCAGAACGAACCACGCACCCCTCCCCTCGGCGCTCCTCCTCGCGATCTACCCACCCCCGGCGCAATGATGGTCGTCACGCTGGTGCTCCTCCTCGCCACCCTCACCGGTACGTACGTAGGTGCATGCATGCACGTAAGCATCAGATTGGAGGATTCTTTAACGATCATGCATGCATGCATGCATGCAAGTTTTACTCACGTCTTCTGACGTACCGCGCGCAGGTGCTCCGGTGGAGGGTCAGTGGCGTAGGCGGTTCCCGCCGCTGGATCCCTGTCGTCTTCCTTACCCTCCGCGTCGTTGTAGCGATCCTTCCCCTTACTTACCCAGACCGCCTCCGACGCCGGTCGACAACTACGACGGGTACAGCATGTTCGTGTTCGGTGACTCCTTCGCCGACACCGGCAACCTCCCATACAATGCCACCAGCCTCCTCGCCTGGTCGCTCATGCGCCCGTGGCACATTCCCTACGGCAGTTCCTACGGCAAGGACGACGGATCCGTCTCCTCGACGCCCCAGGCCACCGGACGATTCTCCAACTATAAGGTCCAAACTGATTTCGTCGGTGCGTAATCTCTCTCAACAACCCAGCTACCTAGCTAGCCCCTTTTAATATCCATAATCTGGCTAGCTCCAGGATCTGTCATTTGAGATGAAGTTTTCGGTAATGTCTAATGAATTTCACGTGTATGTATGTATGGTGCATGGCATGCAGCGACGATTCTTGGGCTCAAGATGGCGCCCCCGGCGCACCAGGTGCAGGGCGACGCGTCCTGCGACAACACCGGCATGACGTTCGCCATGGGGGGCTCCGGCGTCTACTCTGTGCCGGCCGGCGTGCCGACGCTGAGCGCGCAGGTGGACACCTTCGCACAACTCGTCTCCTCCGGCGCCATCCCGGCCGCGCGTCTCGCCAAGTCCGTCGCGCTCGTCGCCGTCTCCGGCACCGACTACGACCGCGTGGGCATCGCGCACCCCAAAGCGTTCGGCGACGTGACCGCCTTCATCCGCAACGTGACCGCCGGGATCTCCGACAGCGTCGACCGCCTCCTCAAGCTCGGCGTGAAGAAGGTGCTCGTGAACAACCTACCCCCGATCGGCTGCGCGCCGTCGCAGACCAAGGCAGCGAAGTACGGCGCGTGCGACGACGCCGGCAACATTGGCGCCGACACCCACAACAAGATCCTGAAGCAGCTGCTCGGGGACCAGGACAACGTGCTCGTCGTCGACCTCCACGCCGCGTTCAGCGCCATCGTCCAGGGGTCGACGGGCCAGTTCAAGCACAGGCTCACGCCCTGCTGCGTGGCCGATAGCTTCTGCGGGGCCACGGACGCCAACGGGGACCTCTACGAGGTGTGCACCACGCCGAGCCTGGGCCTCCCGGGCCCCGAGGAATACTTCTACTGGGACGACATGAACCCGACCCAGGCCGGATGGGCGGCCGTCATGGAGCAGGTCGAGGGCTCCATCAAACAGTTCGTCGGTGTGAACTAGACCGAGATGGGATTCATCTAGTATCTGTTATCAGTTCTTAGTTAGGGTTTTTGCTTACAAAAACATCTGTTTAGCGAAGAGTGTTAGTTGGGATATGGTATGGCACCAACGATGCCAAATCGGTTGAGTTTTGTTTTCGCATCTTCTAATGAACTTTGCGGTCCTTATGATCGAATCAATCAATGGAAAACTTCCAACGATATATTGCGCTGCATTGCTGCTTGATTTGTCTTCCTCGTGATGTGCTAGGTCAGCCATTATTTCTATTTCCCTATCCGTTTGATTTTGGGCTAGGGTTTTTGTTAGTTACTGATGCCATATGGAGATTTGATACGTGCCATTCTAGCTAGCCAACAGATATTATAGTTTGGGTTTTCCCGCGAAAAATGTTAGGCATAATGTAGTTGGTGAGATATTATAGTTTGGGTTTCCCGCGATCAAAGAGGGATATTATAGTGTTTATTATTTCGGAAAGACTAACACACATCTAGATGAAAATTAACTATGTCACATCTAACCTCTCCACCACATGATCTAAAGGCTTTAAGTTTCGTATTGCATTTTTTTCTTGGCGATCCACTTTAGCGGCTGTTGTCCCTTTTTCTATATATATATTGTATATAAGTAGCGCCGCTGTTGTCTATGCACAGTTGTGGTTTGTTTGTGTGTGGGCTGCGTGTGTACGGCTCTACACGGTTGTCGGCCTGCTCGTGTTACACGGCGTCGTTGTTGGCTTTTGTTGCCCCTGTTGACCTGCTGTATGCTGCTCTTTGGCATCAGTACGTGGGATGTAGGCGTCTTTTTTTTGCCCTTTCTTGTGTGTTTTAGGCTTGGTTTTTCCCTTTTGGTTTTTAGGCTGTGATGTTCATTTTTCTCTTCTTTTTTCCTCTCTTTATATATATGCAATTTCCAAGATTCATATATTTTTAGCACGGCTCACGTGCTGTTGTTGTCCCAGCACGAGTGATATGCGCATCCTTGTCCATCTGTTTTTTCGGTCATTTCCGTGTTTATGTTTCTTTTTGTTTATTTTTTAGTGGGGTTGCTAAAACACATCTAGATGAAATTTAGTGATCTCACATCTAGATGTCCAGCCCTCCGGTATATTGTCTTTATTTTTCATGCTCGAGTGATCACCCGTGTCGTGATCGATCCACGCTGCGTTGCAGAGTCTGTTGGGCTGGGAGGCCTATAGCGGAGCGGGACCGTTTTTGCCTTTCTTTTCTTTCTTGATGGGCCGGTGTTGCCTTTGTTTATGTTGGGCTCTTTTAGAATACGACGGGTATAGCCGAGAGTATATTACATCGATATGGCAGCCTCCCTTGAGTCGTCGCTCCCCTCCCCTATTCTTCCATTTTTATTGTTTTGTTTTGAATCCGAAGGAGACAAGCAGACCTAGCAGGTATGTGGCTCAGAGATGGCATGGAATGTTCTTTTTTTTGTTTCCCCTATTAGTTTCATGCACTCTTTTTTCCATGGCAAACTTTTTGTATATTGCATATGCAAGTGTTTGCCTAGTTTTTTTCACAATTTTTCCCCAATTTTGTATGTAAACCCCTCGACTCCAGAATAGAGCTATTTGTAGTTTTTGTAGTCGTCTCATTTGCAATTAGTCATCTCGAAAATCAATTTTTTTATAGTTGCCCTAGTTGCAAGTGACCCGCCCACTCGCAACTAGGAGGGACGTATGTTGGTAGGAGGGGCCAGTTGCAAGTCAACCATCAACTAGCAACTAGGTAGGGCCCCAGTTGCAAGTTAACCATCGACTCGCAACTAGGAGGGTGCATGTTTGTATGGGGCAGTTGCAAGTCAACCAACGACTCGGAACTAGAACGCATCATACTTTTTGTAGTGGCCTAGTTGCATGTCAACCATCGACTCGTAACTAGGGGCGTATGTTTGTAGGTACCAAGTTGCAAGTCAACCATCGACTTGCAACTAGGACGCATCGTACTTTTTTCTAGTGGCCCGAGTTGCATGTCTATCATCAACTCACAAATAGAGGGGCGTATGTGCTGTAGGGGTCTAGTTGCAAGTCAACCATCCACTCGCAACTAGGACATGCCCTACTTTTTTGTAGTGGCCCCAGTTGCGACTCGCAACTAGGGGGCCGTCTGTCTGTAGGGGCCCAGTTGTAAGTCAACCATCGACTTGCAACTGGGACACGTTGTACTTTTTTGTAGTTACCCCAATTGCACGTCAACCATCGACTTGCAACTAGGGGCATATGTTTGTAGGGGCCTAGTTGCAAGTCAACCACCGACCCGCAACTAGGGGGGCCTATGTCTGTAGGCACCCAGTTGCAAGTCAACCATCGACTCGCAACTAGGGTGGGTGTTTGTTTGTAGGGGGGGCACTTGCAAGTCAACCATCGAGTCGCAACTAGCACACGTTGTACTTTTTTGTAGTGGCCCTAGTTGCTTGTCAACCATCAAGTCGAAACTAAGTGGAACGTATGTT